AGCCCAGCACTTCAGTTTTGAGCTCATGGTGTGACAATTGAGGCTCTGCTTCCGCTACCCTGGAGGTTTCTCCACGTTTGTTTTAAGCCACTTCGGGGGAGAGATGTAGAAGCTTCACACCGGATCCGTCGAAGTGGCCTGTGGAAGAAAGCCAGTGAGGAAGCAAGTGTCTGAGGCCAAACTGCTAACCCTTCCCGTCTCTCCATCCACTGACCACCCCTAGTTCAACACTTCCGCTCCCATTCAGAGACCAAATCAGCAGATTCTCCCTTTCAGAAATGAGCCTGGAGAGGAACGAGAAGACGCATAATCTCCACTTTAAGAGCAGAAGCAATTTCCCCAGGGTGGAGTAGAAAATGAGGAATTTCTCCCCCATGACAACAAAGTCAAAACAACAACAGTGATGATACAGGTTTATATTGGTTGTTTATACTCATTTATTCAAAAAAATTAATTTTAATATTCTAACAACATAGGAAAAATCTAGGTGTCCTTTCATTGTTACAGTAGGTTTTAGTATCTAGTTTTCCCTCGTTTCACTTGTTATGTTCCAGCACATACATGTTGGGTGCTTCCTCTGTCTAATTCACTGTTCTAGGTCATAGGATACAGCAAACAACAAAATAGACAAAAATAATTTTCTTCTTGGAGCTCACAATCTAGTACAGTTTATTAGGGAGTTGTACAGGGAGACGGGCCATAAAATAAGACAAATAACAAAAGACATGGCTTGAGGGGTGACAAATGCTATAAAGGAAAATAAAGGAAGTATGGGAAGAATGGGGGACGTTGCAACTTCAATAGTGTGGCCACTGAAAGCCTGGCGTTTGAGTAAAGATCTGAAGGATAGAGGAACAAGCCACGTGGGTATCTAGTGGGAGACTGTGTCTGGCAGAGAGAACAGAAAATATAAAGGCACAGAGAGGGACAGAGGGGATAGCAGAGCTGGACAGAATCTTGAGAACAAGGGAGAGTCATCAGGACATGCAGTCAGAACCCTAACTGGGAGCCCCTCACCGTGCAGGCCATCGCCAGGACTTGGGCTTTATTCTAAATGAGGTACAAAGGTGTTACAGGGCTCTAGTCAGAGGAGAGACACGATCCACCTTAGTCTGAGCGCCATCATGCTGGCTGCCACGTTGAAAATGGATTGAAAGGGAGCCTGGGTGGAAACAAGGAGCCCCGCCAGGGAACAGTTGCACTAATCCACGGGGGAGGCTGTGGTAGCTGTGTCCAAAGAGTGACAGTGCAGTGATGAGAAGTGGGCAAACTCTGGTTATAGCTTGACATTTCTTGACAAATTGGATGTGTGTGTGGGGAGAGGGTGTGAGAGACAGGGAGAAAAATAAGGAAAGAGGGGTCAAGGATGACTAATATGTATTTTGGCCAGAGCAACTAGAAGGATGGATTATCATTCATTTGGGATGTAAAAAGATTATGGAGAAAACTTTGGGAGATCAGTTTTTGGCATGTTGGGTTAAGCAGTTGACCATATGAACCTGGAAATAAGGAAGAAACTCTGGATTGGAGATATTAGTGTGGAATTTAAATCAGCATATACTTACTTATATGTTTGCCATGAGACAAATGTGATCACCAAACAAATTTAGACACATTCTCTTTAATATTTTTAGGATGAGGATGAATAAGTGAGAGGGAGCTTAATGGGGGGGGGATGAGGATAAAATGGAGAATGTGTGGTGCCCTGGAAGGCAGATGAAGCAAGTCATTTAAGGAGGAGCCAGTAATCCGCCGAGTCCTAGAATCAAGCTAGAGAAGTGACTTTGAATTCGGCAATCTGAAGATTGTTTCTGACCTTTATAAGATTGGTTTCACTGGATTAGAGGGGTGAGAACCTGACTAATGTGGCCTCAGGGAAGAGGGGGAGGAGAGAGGTTGGGAACTGCTCTCTGGACAGACAGCTTTCAGATTTTACTTCACATGGAGACTGAGAAATGGGGTGGTGTCTGCAGGGGTGAGTCCTGAAAAGGTTGTTGTGGTTTTGGTTTTATTTTTTGATGGGAAAGTGAATAGCATATTTGTAGGCTGACCTTCCTGTGTGTATCCAGGGATTAGATGCCTAAATACTGATAGAGATCTGTGGGGACAGGATTTCTGATCGAAAGTGAAGTCTGTTTGAAAAGCTCATTTTGGATCATGGGGTCTTAGGGAAATGTCAGTGCTGTACTGGGTGACATGAGAATACTGGCATCAGAGAAGCAGAACAGAAGGGGCACCAGAAGATGGATAGGGCAGCAGAAAAGGAAGGCATCCAAAGCAAATACTGCCTGCTTGCATTTTGCATAAAGTTTAGGTTACTGCAGTCCCTAAGGTATGAATGTAGACTCTTCCACATGCCACAGAAATTTGATCTAAATGGAACCTTAGCAAAAACAAAACAAAAACCTTTCTAAATAGAATTTTTTTTTTTAATGTCCAACTCATCTCTGTGGGAAAGGTAATTCTGAATAGTTTCAAAGGCGGAGGCAGGCCATTTTCAGGCACTGGACACTTTGGAAACCAGTATGCCGTCTCTGCCGAGGGACTGGAACAGTGGTTGATGTTAATTAACATGTCTCTCTAACACTGTCTGCCAGGAGCTCTGTTAGCCGGTAATGTAGGTGTTCTGATGAACCACGTAATTTAGCCAACAAAGACCTACAACATGTGGTTTAAATTAATTATCAGTGTAGAAGGAAGCGTGAGTCTGTGTCTACTGTCCGTGTTGAGATGAAGAATCTCTTATCAGCGAGCACCCGTGGGGCCAGGGGCTTTGTCTGGGCCTCGGATTCAGGAACTGATGCTCTGCTTTCCAGGACTAGACACTTTATTCCATCCATTATCCAGACATCCAGAGAGGCTCTGCGGAGCTAATGCCTGTCAATCATGGGATTGGGAGACGGACTAAGCCAGTAATTAATCAAAAGAGATTATGAGATTTGGGGAGCCCCCAGGTCTCACTCTCATCATCTTGGAGAAAGTCATGTATTGCCTATATCTCCAAAGAGTAGAGACGCATTCTTTAGGGCCTGACATCCTCCTGGACAAACTGCAAGTATTCCGCCAGGTGGCCTCTCTATTTACAGTTTTCTTTTTGGAAAATGGTTACAGTGTGATCTGAATCCCTGGATTGGACTAGATTCTAGTACAAACTACTGTTTAGTCTGTCACTTTGGGAAACGAAATCTCTGAACTACCTTATTGTCTCATTAGATAAATAGGGACAATAACATTGTTACTACATAAGCTATAAACTCAAGTGGATGTAAAATTAGCATGGAACACAGTGAAGCATCTTAAGGAGAGAAGGTTACATAGGAGCCATAGATAATGATTGATTTATGGGTTATCAATTTTAAACTTTTCTATTATACTTCTGATGGGTATCTTTTTCTCTTTTCTCCAGTATTTTAGGCACATAAGATACACTAAGAGCTAAGGATGTAGCAAGAAGGAAGACTTACCAAAGCTGTTCGTGATACCAGTATAATAAGCCATTTGCTGAGCTGATTAGTATACTAAAATAAATGTCACAGATATGTGTTAGAATTCACCAATATGCAAAATTGAAGTTATAATTATGTTACAGAAATGGTGATGAAAATAACACGTCTACCACATTTAAAAAAATTGATTTTATTTTCCTTTTCAGGACTTAATGTGTTAAACTCTTCATTTTGGCCAGAAGATTAGGAAGATAGAGTTCTCCTGATTATTTTTATACTGGAATAATCTTTCATTATTAATCCATTTAAGTCTTATCTCAAATCAGTTCACCAGTGCTACCAATTAAAAATAGAGAATGTATGTGCTCAGTTTCAAGAATTAAAAATAATACCTTGGGAGTAGCATTTCTTTCCTGTGGTGAGAGGATTGTTGGGTTTTCCAATTAAAGATGTCTCCATACTGGAAATGAGCAGTCAATTATGAAAATTATTTTTGAATAGCCAATTTGCATATCCCTAATTGTATTCATTTCTTTTTAAAGACTGAACTTGAAATTGATGATGTTTGGTTACCCCTGCACTGGTGTTATTAATACTATCACCAACAAAGTTCCCCTGTGAATGGGGCTTTGAGTGCCTTTCCCGAATAAATGTTTGAATGATAAGTAGATTTGTTTTATTTAATGAATGAAAATATCTAAAGACTTACTAGCAGTTTTCCAGACTTGCGCACACTGCCCTTCCTGAGTTGACAGTAGCATCCCTGAGCTGCCTGATGCACTCACATTTGGACTTTTCCACATCAGCTCATGAGGCACATTTGAAGTTCCTACTGTGATGGTGTCTGCTGGCCAGAAATGTGTTTTCAGCAGGGCAGCCTTCACCACTGATACAGCAGTTTTACACAATTACATGATATTTTATGTTGCCCCTATTTTTAAGAAAAGTGACGTGGAGATGGACAATTAAAAGTTTTTGTATCAATGATGGAAAGTTCTCATATGAAATAAAATTGAGATGAAGATTGAAATTATCAAAAGTTCTGATGTTTAGTTTCATTGGACTTAACCAATCCACATGGAGCTAGTCATGAAGGAAAAGAACAAAATTACAAGCATGTATTAAAAACTGGGATATCTGTGTGTACAAGATAAAGACAAATGGTGTGTAGCTGTCTCTACTTATTATGGTTGTGTGATTTTATAGCATCTTTGCTGATGTCCTCTTCTACCATGTAATCTGTTCCATCTCTACATAGTCAACTTTTGTTTTTAGCAACACTCTTAAAATAAGAGATACTGGCATCCTTTCAGCCATGCTTCAATTAAAAACAAACAAGCAAACAAACAAAAACAAGGTGGTGAGGGGAGAGGAGGCAGCCTCTCATTCCTTCAAGAGAATTAGCCAAAATTGGATCTCTGTTTAAGGAGTATACAAACCAAAACTTTGTTTGGTTTTTTAAAAACGAAACAAAGATCACAATCAGCTGGATAACAGTGTCCCTGTGATATGAGTGTCCCACAGAGTAATTAGTGTTGTTGGGTTTGTTTGTAGCTGATTGCTGTGTTTGACGAACAAGAACCACTCCACAAGATTGAGAGCCCTGGTGGAAACCCGGCAGGCCGGCAGAGCCCAGATGCTTTTGAGATGGAAGTGGCTGCCCAGCTGGCTGCGTTTAAACCAGTTGGTGGAGAAATTGAAGTCACCCCTTCTGCGCTGAAATTAGGTAGGTGTATTTTTGAGTGGTATGCTTTTCATCTGGTTGAAATGCATCATTTTGTTGGCTATGAGTTGCTTCTACTTTATGGCTTAACCTGTCAGTATTTGTCTTTCAAAAAACCTGGTTTGTCTTTCTCTAAATTATGATGATGATGATAATGGTAATGATGATGATGATGACATAGAACTTTGCGGTGACTGACGCTCAGGCAGTGGATGCAGCTTTTCGTGAACCATAGGTGTATCTGAATTACCTGCCCTTGAAGTAACATGGGGGAGGAGTTGGACTGTAAATGATGAAGTTTGTCTGAAGCCTACAGGGACCACTTAACATTTTTTTAAAAGTTATTTGGAAAAAGCTAAGGGTTATCAAGGAATCCAGGCTAGAAAGAAAAGGTCATTTTCTGTGTCAGCCGCCTTTTTCTTCTCCACAAACTGTTTATCTCAGAGTTTGGGGGAAACATTTAGTTTCTTAATTCTGTCCTATGATTTACTCTAGCAAGAACTGCTCCTCCAGTGATTTTGCTCAGAGAGTCCTTTTTTCTGTTGTATCTGGTTTGAAAGTGTTGGTACAGAAAATAAACATTCTTCTAAAGTTTTTGTGAATATATGACACCAAGGTAAATAATGTGTCAGTTATCGGTGATACCTCTTAAAGATAGTTTTAGGTCAGTTTAACAGTGTGAAGTTTTGAAAATCCACTAATGTTTTGGTACTTAAAACCGTTCTTTTTATTCCTGTTGAATGGATGCCTACATTTTGAAACAGCTCTAAGCACCAGGTGTAGGTTAATTCTCAAGCTAGAGCAGAGGTTTTTTCTACTTTGCAAAGGAAATTTTTTTTCCCTTACATCCTTACATTCTTACATGCTTAAGATTGTAAAAATTGTACCTATGACAGTTTTTGCCATTTGAAACAAAATATATACTGTAAAGTTTACTTTACATACCACAAAACTATATATCCAAATTTTGTACTAATTTTCTGGAAAGCATCTATAGTGCCCCTTTTAAAATAAGCCAAGTGGAAATTAATGACCTGTGGTCTTCATAATTTCTGTCTGTCTTTCTGGGAACCAAGCTAGTGAAGAGTCTGCTGGAGCTCAGACATTGGAGGCCTTTGTGGCAGCTTCTCTTCATCTGGAGAGAGGTTTGTGGCTTCAGCAACCTCACATCCCTATCATTCATTTGCATAATGGATGCCTTTTTATCCATTATGCAAATGGTACGGGAGGAAAATTAGGCAATAAGGGAAGACGAAAGGAGAAAGTTGCTCTTGCTTTTGCTAATATTCTATTTATAAGCAAGCACTGTGGTCTTCAAAGGGCTGAACCTCAGAGTACCCCTGTGCCTGGAAATCTGCTTTTTCACCTTTCTCCTGTGAGCTTTCTCAGGGGGGAAAGGTTTGTTTTTCTTTAGCTTTTCCAGTTTCTTTTGTTGAACCATCTGAGCAATATAATGTTAAATGCTGAGGTTCCCCTTCTTTGAAAGTGGACTTTCTACTTCTTCAATAATGATAGAAAATAATATTTATTAAGTGGTGACCATATGCCGGACACTGAGCTCAAGGTAGTGCACCGAGTATTCTAAATCCTTTACTCATAACAGCTCCTTTAAGCCTCATAACGCTTAGTTGAGTTCTGATTTCCGACACGAGGAGACGCGCACAGAGCAGTTACGCAGCTCCTCGGAAGTCACACAGCTATTCGGTGGCGAGGTCAGAATTTGACGGATTCCTGGCTCCAGTGTTGGGGACAGTTCTGCCATGTGGCCTTTCATATGCTGTTTGTAAAAGAATACATTGGTACGGTTTTCCTGAGGTTGGCTTCATGAGTATATCCCAAACCCTGGAAATGCTTCATTCCCTGGCTTCCAACCCCATGCCACCTGGTACCCTAGACTACATGGTAAGATTAGCCAGCCTTCACTGTTAGGTGGTCAGCGTTGCCTTCCCACCGTCTGCTCTGAAACCATGGCATTATCCCCAGCTCCTTCTCGTCCTTTCCACCCTCCATGCTTTCTTCAGCCTTCGTGTCCATGACCACTGCAGCAGGCCAGAGGTTTCTCATCGGTCAGACTACTGCAGGGGCCTCAAACTGACCTCTTCCTTTATGGTGAGTGCCTGCTTTCTCCAACCCCTGCTTCTACCAGAGCCACCTTCCCAAGTCATGAATCTGACTGGATAACTCCCCTGCTTCCCAGCTTCCAGTGGCTTCCTATTGTGAGGAGAATCAGGTTCAAACTCATTAGCAAGCTGATGCAGGTGGTTCCTCCAAATTAGCTGGAGGAATTTGGGCAGGGATGAGTGATGAAGAGATCATCCCTTACCTACCCTCTTGCTTCCATCAAAATGAGTTCTTTGCATTTCTGGAACTTGAAAAAGCAAAGAAAAAGTATTTATCGAGTTTCTCAAATCAAGAAGAATGCAAAACAACCAGCTTTGGTATCTGCCCATTCTGTTTTCCTTTTGTTGACTTCAGGGCGGGATGTGATCATGGGTTGGGCAGAGGGGATGGAAAGATATACTTGGCAGCAGATGCCATGTCCATGGCTCTTCTGGGGTGTGTCCTAGTTGTGCTGTCCCACCCACCCTGAGACCCTGTTTAGAAAAGGAGTGGGAGGGAGTGGTCAGAGAGGGAGTAAGACAAGTGTTCTAGCAACCCATCATCACTGGCTGCAGATAAAATGCTGAACCCCAAGCCCTGGCCCTTCCTCTGCTCCTCACTAAGCTCTCAGAGGCCACTGGAGCTGGATTTTCTTCTCTCGGGGCTCATCCGCCCAGGCTGGTACAGCAGACGCAGGGCTGATCCTCGCTGGTTCTCTCATTCTTGAGATCCATTCAGGAAGATGGAGAATGTAACCGTTGTCTGTTCACATGCATTTCTTACTTAAGGAGACACAACTGAATAGATGTTAGGAATCAAGACGTTCTTACAATTATGTTTTACTGATATCTGAAATAAAAATACACTCAAAGTTCAGTGTAATTTTTATATCTTTTTCCAACACAAGATAATCATCAACAATAGCCAATTAAAAATTGACCACCTGCCCCACATACATGGAGACACAGGTTGCCCATGGCTTTTTTTTTCTTTATCTTCCAAGATGAAATACTTATGCACAGAATATGCCAAAAGTTCATATTCAGGATATTTTCCTGATCTGGCCACTTCTCTGCCCACTTCTAATACTGGCTGCTGTTCCGCAGTCACCTTAACTGACAGCCACCATGAGCCATGTGTCTTTCTCTACATTTGCTACTTTCTTTGAAACCTCTGTGTCTTTGTTGTTACCTGACTCACCCCTTTGCCTCTTTTCTACCTGGGGAAATTGTATGTACCTTTTAAGTTCAAGCTCAAATAGGACTTTGTGAAGCCTTGTCCAAACCTTCAAGATAGTACAGTAAGTGTACCATAAGTATGTTTCTTAATTCTTCAATAAGGAAGGGATGCAAAGATGAGTAAATTTTCTACCAACCGAAAGGGTTCATATTCATGCGTCCTATAAGCTAATGGGGTATATATTTTTAATTTGTAAGACGAGTTTTAAATCATATGGGCAAACACATAATTCCAACTTCATTCATCTGAGTTATTTCCCACATTTATTTTCTAATGGATTTTCTAATGTAATGCTAAATGACTAAGTCCTGACTCAGCTCTTACTAGCAAATTATTCTAACACTTTAAGATTTCATGTTTCTGAAATTGGCCAGTGCATTTTACTGTATAGAGATTGCTAACCTAAGAGTCTATTTAAAACAAGAGACGTGGTGGAACAAACACCAAGCAGTACAGCAAACACATTTGCAGAGTCCATTGAGACTTGAAAATCACCTAGTTCAACAATTTTCCAAGTCTTCTTTGTGGAACCCTGTGGTACTTCTTAAAATGTTTCAGGATTTTGGCAAATATTTGATTCTAGTCAATTAATAATGTTTGCTGAGCATTTAAGTTCTAGATGCTGTCTAATTCATTCATGTTCATTCTCTGTACAAATAGAATTGGCTATGGTAGCAGGGAAGAAAGGGATGCAGATGGTTATCCAGGAGGCAATACAGAGTCCATAATACCGTTTTGAAGTCCTATAGGAAAGAGACCCACCTTCACTCTGAAGAATTCTTGGCACTTCTTAGAACAACTTTTGTGAAGTACTGGTCTGTTAATAGAGAGTTCCATAAAGTTTCATATCAGCAATTTTCTAGGCAATTAACATTATTTTACAAATGACCAAATGAAAGCTTAAACTCAGTATGTGCTCTGATGTCAAATAACTAGTTGGTTAAAGGCATGGAATTGGACCTGGCATCTCTGGGCTTTCAACTACATGACATTTTTTTAGATTAACTGTAGGTTTCAATTATCTATATTTTTAATATTATATAGGATAAAATAGCACCTTATTTATCCTTTTGGAATTGCAGTAGAGTATAAATTAGTAAATAGATACTATGAATAGTTGTAAATGAATCACCAATAAGGAAATAAAGGCCAGAAAATTAAGATGGAGAAAGTTTCTTTTAAATCCTTCTGTAAGTTTCAGAAATGGATTTGCTCTTATTTCTTCATCCTATGTGTGTGCACACACATGTGTCTGCATTTACATGTGTATATTTCAGGAAAAAAATTGCACCAAAACAAATATGCTGATATTTGGGATACCTGGGTAATTTTTTTGTTTTGTTTTGTGGATACGGTTGTACTTTTTGACATTTCAAGTATCTGCATGTAGCGCCTTCTGTTTGGTAGTGGCCCCGTCTTTGTCCCTTGAGAACCAATGATATGGAGCTGGTCCAGACCCTACAGTATTGAGTCTGTATGTCCAGTCGGGTCATTTAACAGGTATCTATTACATTTTTCCAAACGAAAAATAAATCAGGACACACTTGGCACTCTAGAAATGAATATTCTGAACTGAGACCATCCAGGTTACTTCTTTGTGCCACTAACATATATTCCTGGGCCACAGTTATCTAATCTGTAAAATAAGCCTTTCTTGTTCTAAT